TGGGGGGGGGGGGGTGCAGTAAGTTGGACAAAGCAGTTACTGGCAGCCGTAGGTGGGCGGGTGGGGGTGGTCGCGAGCAAGGGGGATACGTCGCGGCACAAGCACGCCATGCTGTATTTGAACTGCTGCGGTGTTGAGTATTTGTGGAGGGGAGCGGGTGGGATTTTTGTTCACGCCGCGGTGTGTTTCGTGAATTAAACACGAACAAACGATAAGAATGCCAACGAAGGGAAGCAGCGACATACGAGACATATTTCTGTGCCCACGTACGCACAAAGAGCCTTCACCCAAGCTTGGTTGAGTTGCGTGACCACATGGAACACGCTAACGCGCAGCAGGGACTTGTACCAGCCAGACCAAGCGCTACTGCGGACTGACCACGATGGTGACAACATCCAAACGCGCCAAGCACTGGACAGAATCGACCAAACCCCAGGGCGAGAAAAGGCAGCAATGCTCTTCCTAGTGCTGTGTGCAAAACAACACCTCAGTCATTAAATGTGTACGAACTTCAGCAAAGCCAAAAAAGCCAACTCATTTTCAAGAGTGCCGTGTGGTATGCATATCTCTGAAGCAATGTCAGACTACCCGTATGCGTTGTTCAAGCGTTCGTTTCGTAAATTATAAATTACCTTGTAGAATACATACAATATGATACGATGAGACACCCTCGACCGAGCATGCTGACAAAGCCTAACCGCTTGGACGTGGTTTGGGTTACGACCCACGCCGTACGGCGGAAGTCACCGCCAATACATAAAAGGAGATACGAATTGTTTCAGTCTCAGTGACAAACTGCTGTGCGAATGGCGTGGGCCTGAATACCACGCGAAGCAGTCATCATGATCCCCACATGGACAAGAAAAAAGAAGTAAAGGTGAGGTGCACAGAAAGATCACTCACACTCGGCCATCCCAAACAAAGCGTATGAAAATGTGGAGATCACGTTCATAACGGGCACTACAAAATATAATTGTTTTCTCAAAAAGCTCTCTACTTGTGTCAATCTTATAGTCTAGAGCACAGCAGTAGCCTGTCGCGAAATCCGCCTCCACACTGCTGGATCAGTTCTGTTTTGCCTGCATCAAGATAGCTGTGTGGCCCTGTGTACAGTTCGCTCTCGTTGCTCAACATCCCCAACACACCGACACACCTGCTCCACAAGACGGCGGTGGTGGTGCTCCAAGTAGCTGTCCAGCTCCGCGAGGCTCGCGATGCTCCCGGGAGAGCTGCGCCGCATCGCCGCCGTCGACGCCGACAGGTGCCCGGGCACCGGCGGCGGCCTCCCCTGCTGCCCACGCGACCCTCTACCGGACGTATACGACACGGGAGACGACATGAAGCTCCCGCCGCCCCCGCGCATCGATCCCCCGCCGCCGGACACGCCAAACGCCTCTAACCTTCCGCCTGCGGTAGACGGCGAACTCTCTCCTCCGTGCCTGTTGCTGCTACTCCGGCCGCTCGAGCGGCGTGTCCTGCTGCTGCTGCTCCCTCCGGTTCCGCCGCCGCCGCCGCCGCCGCCGGTGCGGCTCGAGCCCCCGTGGGATGACTGTGGGGGTGGGGGCTGCGGCGGCACGACAGCCGCAGAGTTGTTGCGGTGCTGCTGCTGTTGCTGCTGCGCTTGCTGCGCCTCCGCGTACTGCTTGGCGATGATCCACTGCTTCTTGGCGTTCAGCAGAGCCAGCGCCCGGTCGACGTTGTCAAGATCGTCCAGATCCATGGCATCGAACCCGCTCACCACTTCCCTGAGGTTTCCGTCCCCCCCGGCCTCGCCCATCTGGATGTCGGGCACGGGGCCAAGGGCGGGCGGCGGGCTGCGCGATCGAGGAGCCCTCCGAGAAGGCGACGAAGAGTCGCGGTTCGACGCGCCGCCGACTCCAACGCCTCCCTGCCTGCTGCTGCAGCTGTTGCCCTTGTCCGATCCCGTCAGGAGATAGTCCATCGGGCCCAGAGAAAGCCCGGCTCCGACGTCGAGATCCATTTGTCCGCCCTGAACGGGACCGCTGCCACTGGACGGGGACACCGGCATGACGCCGGCCGGCGCAAGGAGGTGGTCAGGGGCGTGGTGATCTAGGAAGCCGCCGCCGCCGCCGCTGCTGCCTACAACGGCAGGCACGTTGGAAATCGGCAGTGGTTGCTGCTGCTGCTGCTGCTGCTGCTGCTGCTGCAAGATCGCTGCTGCTGCTGCTGCCGCTATTGCGGACGATGACGAGGCTGTGGAGGATTCCTGGATCGTGGCCTCCATGCGCTGGGACTGCTGCGACTGCACGCGGGTCTTGAGGTGCCTCTGTATCTCGTTGCTGACGTGCAGGTCGTCGCCCTCGACGTCGACTCGGCCCTCGTGCGGCTGCTCCAAGAACACGCGATCCAGCAGAGTCATCTCCCGAGCCTCCGCCCTCGAAGGAGACGGCTGTCGAGACGCCACCGCCAACCCTGCTGCCGCCGATCCAGATCCTGCCGCTGATCCCGATCCGCCCGCCATCGTCGACGCCGAGGCCAGCGTCATCATCACTGCTGCGGACGAGGGCGTGGACGCGCACACGGCAGAAGAAGAACTAGTCGCCGCTGTCGCCTGCTGCAAGCCGTCTGCTGCTGCCGCAGCCGCCGCATCGATGACTCTTGAAAGAGTCGGAGAAGAATGACCCCTCGCGGAGCTGCTGACAGAAGCCGGTGTCGGTGATGGAGAGGAGCTCGCCCTGCTGCCACCCCCGCCTGCGGGCGTGGGAGAGGAAGCGCCCCAGGGGGCACCCGCCCCAGCCCCGCCGCTGCTGCTGCTGCTGCGTGTGGCGGCTACCTTGTGCGGGGGCCCAAACGCCGGGCTCTTGCTGCCGAGCCCGCGCTGATTGTACCCCTTTCGAGTCTGGTCAGCGCCGCGCTTCTCCCGGGGTCCGCTCATTATGGCGTTGCTACCACCGCCGCTGCTGTCCAGGAAGACGCCCCGAGAAGTGCTGCCACCCGCCTTGGAGGATGGGCTGCGCCGAGCGCCCACGTGACCGTACGCCGTGGCGGCATGGACGGTGGCGATAGTTGCGGAAGGGGGAGCCTGCTGGTTCGGGCTCGGCGTGCGTGAATGGCTTGGGCTGTTACGCTTGGTGAGGGGAGCGCTCCGCCTCGGCTGCTTCGCCCGCTCTTCCACCTCCGGCACCGATGCAGACCCGCTCTTCCGGATACACCGGTGGTCGGCCCGGATGGGTGGCATGGTGGTGGTGGTTGGTGGTCGGGTACACCCCCTTGCCGCTTCACGATCGTCCTCACGAGCTCTCGGTACGGAGAGCAGAGAGACACGCTTCGAAACGCCTCAGCAGCAACAGCAGCTGGAGTAGGGAGCTGAGAAGAAGACGCTGGACCAACAGATATCACGCTTTCGACCTCCAAGTCTCGGCCAGCGGGACAGCGCCCCACCCTCTGGACAATCAGACCTTACTCGTTCACGGGGCGAAGACGAGATCGGCCGCGAGGCCGTGGCGCCGCGGGGCAAGGGAGAGAAAGCGCGCGGAAGAAGAGAGAGCGAGTGTTGTCTGACCAAAGGGAAAAGGAATGCATTTTTATTTTTGTTAGGGTCAGGAAACGGAGAGAGAGACCAGGAGAGAGATCGCATGCATGAAAAAAAAAATACAAGAACATTTACCCCGCCAGCTCTATTGATGTAACTGCGAAAGTAACGAGTAACGATGCATGCAAGAGGGAAGAACCGGGTCGCGCTATACATGTGGATCCGAGATACGGTGGAATGATCACCGAAAGAAGCTAACACGACACGCTCACTAGTAGCTAGCATACGCGCCCCTTGCGCCAAACACAGCGGTAGTGTGCTGCTTGCATTATTGTTCTGTTTTCCGTCCAAACTGCAAGCATCACCCGCCCGTGACACACCGACGGGTAAAATCGTAAAAGCTTAGACGTACTTCTATAGAGATGGATTTGTTGTGTAATGCTGAGAAAAATATATATACCTTCGCAGCACGAAGTACACGACACAAGAGAATTTGGTATAAAAAATGAGTGAAAAATAGGGAAATCTCGGTTTTGCGTGCGGGATGACGACCTCCTCTGTCGACCGCTGTCGAGCTGTCTCCTACTACATAGCAGGGATTCAAAATCCAGACAAGAGAGTGGTTCTACGATCATGCCTCTTGATTATTGGGTGTGTTATTGTGTTATTTGTTGTTACTAAATACTACCACGTCATTATGTCTTCCTCATTGAGGGCGTAGTGCTTGCGTCACTCACGACGTTAATTTTGCCTCTTGAACTAAATATAGAAGTTGCTGCCACTGAGAGGCTATACATACGGAGCAAAACATGTGTGCAAAGATCTATGCCTCCAGGGCGTTTCATATTCCGCGTACAATTTCAGCCTACCACTTCATCTGTCAACGTGGAGATGGATACTGCATACAGTACACATGCCGTTTTTGCATGCATGCATTTGGGAGAACCAGCGAGTGCCGGAGGTCGTCCTGTATTGATTGCCTGGTACCTTCCAACACAAGAAAACAACGAAAATCTTCGAAGGAACGACGAAGGGTAGTCTGCTCACCATCATCCACGATTCCTTTCACGGTCGTGCCACCACTAGCCTAAATACACACCTCTTACTGGTAGCAGAGTGTCAATCTCGACGGAGAGAAGGATGCATGCATCCCTTCCGATCGTCCATGCAGCACATAACGACCATGTTCTTCTATGTTCCTTACATCTACATGCTTTCCCCGCTCATGCATACGACCCAACGATAACACCTAGATGCTTTTTCCGCTCATCATGCACACGACCCAACGATGTAATTGTAGCCTCTGCACGACTTGGCCCGGCATCCACCGAATATTGTCTGTCGTTAGCGTTTTTCATCAATCAAACCGGACGCAGACATAAACAGGTAAATCTAAGGGACAAGTAGATCTTGTCACTGTTCCCACGCTTACCAGTATGAGTACTTCGCACCAAGCCTAAGGATAAGCCTCGTCTCTTCGTGGCATTTTTTGAACTATTCTCAAACCGGACTATGCATGCATATGTAGCATACGTGTCTCCCCCACAGCCGCCAAATAAAGAGCCAAGGGTACAAGCAGCACCATCCCCGAAGTTGGTATGCTGATTGCTTCGCGTTTGAAACTGCCCATCTGCTCAAACCCTCTTGTATCTTTACCAACGTACTACGACGTAGGTCCCACCGACGCAGTCGCCTTCCATCGTCGAAGGCTACCACTACTACCAATGAAGGGTGCACTACTGCATGAAAACTCAAGAGGACTTGGACCCAAACGTCCTTGCCTGAATGAACGAGAATTTGTCTTAAAAGGTCGCGACACTACAATGAACAGAGCGTCGGGAAAAGAGACTAGACTAAACCAACACTAGTAACGCGCTACAACAATGTCCCACAGACTAGAGACTAGAGACTCCCAAGCAACGACAACGAAGGACCTCCCCCGCCCTGTTTAGACAGAACCAACACGAACGGCAGTATCGCCATCTGCGACTTTAAGTACGGCGCTCCCCTCGACCTCGCCGCGAGAAAACGCCCAAAAGGGGGGATAGCCCTTGTGGTGCATTGGCAGGTCATGCAGCCACCACGGACCCCCTCTATCATTGCTGGGAGCCAGCAGCGAAGGTCGAAACGGTAGTAGCATCTCAGACCTCAGACCCAACTTAGTCGTCCAAAGGGTATCCACCACCCCCATCGAGGTGTGTTTTATCGTTCCTAGTGTCATTGACGGCGCGCATTATCTCTTCAACTTGCCGAGGAGAGCGTTGGCCTTCTCCACCAGCCCCTGTCGTCGTCGCCGTTGTGGAAACCGTTACCGCCGAAACATGACGAAATCACGCCACCGAAAACGAGCAAAGGCGTTTAAAAACTTGCCGATTCTAATATTTTGCCAACGAGCCATCACGCAGTTGTGGATGTACCATCACGCTGTGAATGGCTTTGACTGCCTGGCGCTACGTGTACAAAGTGAGGTTTCATTCAAGGTCGTAAAACAGATCAACGAACGGTCTGTATACAAGCGCTTAGGTTGCCACAGCCTGAGCCACAGGATCCACTGCAACGCTACTTTAAGATCCGGCCTGGTACCCGTCGGCACCATTGCCCGTAAAGTAAAAATGACTGATTCGTTCTCTATTCCGCAAAATCCCGACGGCATCGTGAGCAGTAGACTATTGATCGCAAACATGCGCAGGAGAACGTCAGCACAGCCGCTTGTGAGTTTACTGCCAATTATTCTTGCCACAACACAAGACCATAAACAAAGCAAAATGCACACACACTGCTATTTTACTAGTGCATACAAGCTGTATGGATATCTTTGACAAACACCCAACAGAAATTCTGCTAAGACAACTCTCAACCAATATTCCCGATTCGATAGATTCACACCAACAACGCTGGTAAGACACGCTCGCAAATCAACCGTTTTCATTTTCTTGTTTGAAGTGGAACGGAAAACGAACATTGATGATACTACTACTGTGCACGCACCTCGACGATCGAAGGGTCGGCGAGAGTGCTAGTGTCGCCCAGTTTGTCGGCCTCTCCCTCCGCAATCTTGCGCAGGATCCGCCGCATGATCTTGCCTGAATGAAACGAAGGAAGTGAGTTTCAGCAAATACAATCGCGGTAAAATTGTCAACAAGAACAACTTGAGGCGTAACAAGGCACACCACGTACGGTGTTCAATTCCGTGTGCCATTCCATATCATGCCGTACAGATAGCTCCCTACCGGATCGAGTCTTGGGAAGGCCGGGGGTCCCAACGATCATCCCTGGCCGTGCGAACGGGCCGATGTGCGTAGCCACCTGCTTGACCAATTCCTTCAGCAGCTCCGGGGACTCGGTGTAACTGCCAGAACAAATCAGAACCAAAATTCCACGATCGACGCCACCGTTACGTTCCATGCCATCGCGAAACCACAGTAATCATGAAACAAAACGTCATCGTTCGACTGTCATCGAAACACGCGGGAAAAAGTGGTGGCCAGGCATCAGGGACGCGTGAGCAAAGGGTCGAATACATAACGCCCGCAAGCCACGACGGGGACTGTTGCCCTCGCCAGCACCTTGCGGATTGCTTCACGGACCAGCAAGTGACTGCTTTGGTCGCAGCGCTTTGCTTTGGACGACTGCGAACGCCTTCCATGACGATCACACCCTTCGGGGGCCCTCCACAGCAAGAAAGACGCCACACGTTCTATGAAGACGAAAACCAACACTCATTGCACTGCAACACCAGCCCATCCACTGCAACACCAGCCGTGATGTCATAGAACCAAACAAAGCATCACAAAATCTATCGAACTCCTTACCCAGACACAAAGGTGACGTAGCAGCAGATAGCCTGCCCCTTGATGGGGTCGGGGAAGCCGACGACGGCTGCTTCGGACACCGCCGGGTGCAGCACCAGTGCACTCTCCACCTATATGCCAGTCCGCGAGAGGTGGACACAAGTTGGATCCGGGAACCAGCGATAATTGATGGTGGCGGTGATGGTGGTGGCGATATTGTCATCATTGTTGACGTTGCGAAACAAAACTGAGCACACGGGAGTGCTACGGCAGTGTACGGTCAAGACTATCTGACCTTCAAAAAACGTCAGGTCTATTTGTTGTGTGTCGGGGGAGGTCTTGTGTCGCCCCGGTGATAAGGTACAGGTCGCGGGAGTCACGGAGGGGGGATGCTAACCGGGGGGTTTGGGGTGTAGTAATAGCCTGCTAACAAAAGATAGAAGCTGCTGAGCCGGTGCGGTGGCTGCCACATTGGCGCTTGTTGCTGTGCCAGCAGCAGCAGCAGCACCAGCACCAGCAGCACCAGCAAAAGCTGCCGCAGGTGTAGCAGAAGCTTACATAATTTGAAAGGAAGGCGTGATCGGTCGAGCCTTCGTCATCGCGTGAATGCAGCAGCCGAAGCAGCGGACGGCTACCTGTTGTTTACCTTGTGTCGTACGCGGTAGATACGTGAACGTGCAACACCTTGACGCTGCACTATACCACTTACTATATGTGAAACCTATCAATTATGCCACGGCTACAAACCTCTGCGGTGCCGATGCGGTGGCCGGACACGTTAAGAACGTCATCCACCCTTCCGGTAATCCAGTAGAAACCGTCAGAATCTCGGTGGCAGCCGTCTCCCGTGAAGTAGTAGCCCTACACCAAAACAATTAACAAAGGTGTGGCAAAGGAGACGGGGTGGGGGGGAGAGGAACGGTATATGGAACGGTTCATGGGTCTTCGATTTACTCCACACGGGACCTCAAATAGCCAAGCGACGCTGAAACAAAAACAGGAGCCTTCCGCACTAGCTGTGGCGTAAGAGGCTATATTTCAAGACCAACACCAAAACTATTGTCAAACAGAGTTGTGGTAGAGCAGACCATCGAGAGTATGTACGGCTTTGCTCGAGCGCTTTGGGAATGTATTTACATCCTCGCACATCTAACTAGGTGCAAACACAAGCACCGGGGTGAAGCACCAAACCTGCCGCATGCGCCCCACCATCACCTCTTCGCT